GGAAAGGAAAGGAAAGGAAAGGAAAGGAAAGGAAAGGAAAGGAAAGGAAAGGAAAGGAAAGGAAAGGAAAGGAAAGGAAAGGAAAGGAAAGGAAAGGAAAGGAAAGGAAAGGAAAGGAAAGGAAAGGAAAGGAAAGGAAAGGAAAGGAAAGGAAAGGAAAGGAAAGGAAAGGAAAGGAAAGGAAAGGAAAGGAAAGGAAAGGAAAGGAAAGGAAATCCCACAAAAAATAAATGAATAATATTTGTTCTGATCTGCCCATCACTCACCTCAATGGGCCTCTTTTTCTTGCCGACATTGTTGGTCTGTAGTTTCTCTGGCATTGGTGGTGCCCTGCTCACTGGGGGTCTGCCCAAAGACAAAAAACACAGCCACTTAATCAGTCTTAGAGCAGTAATAAGGTCAGACAGTGACCAGATGAAAAGGACACCAGACATCTGGCATGATTCGGTTTCACTTCAGGTTTTAACTGTAACATGTAACCAAATACAAATACAAAGTTACTGAGTCAGTTCAATATGTGAAAGTTTGTGGTGTACAGTAAATGTTTGGCTAAAACCTTTGTAAAATTCTGCAAATTAAGTTTATGTAAAACTTTAAACATATCAGGTAGAAAGAGATGTAAGTGATCGGTCTAGTCTTACCTTGAGCCCCTTTAAAAGCAGCATTAACAGAGAGAGAGAAAAATGTTAGAAGTGTGTCAGTTGAGCAGTTCCCTCAAGTGCTCCAGAAAACAAAGAAGCACAACACTGGGACACTGAGAACAAAAAATACAATAAAAATGTATAAATGTTGTCCATGATAATGTTCACTTGACAGCACAAAATGGCCCAAAGAGCTGGTGAAGCAAGAGACCAGGGGCCTCATTTATAACCATTGCGTACGCACAAAACCTGCCCTGAAAGAGGCGTACGCCACTTCCTACGCAAAAGGTGGGATTTATAAAAACAAACTTGACAGGAAAATGTGCGCACCTGCACGTAATCTCTGACCCATGCGTACAAACTCTTTTTCCTGGAGTGAGAAAATTAATGAAGCAAACAACAATTTTAAACTCTGTTTTCATATCGATATACACATTTACATTAAATATTCCACTCTCATTAATGGAGATAAGCACTGAAATTGCATAAAGTCATTACGCAGAAGCATCTTAATTCAAGTGATGAAGGATTCTGAAAGTCTGACATCACTGTTGAGTTCTACTGTAAGGCTAACTCTGCCTGCTTTAAATGTTTGAAAATGATTAAGTTTAGAAAAATTTAGAAAAAAAAATGAAATTTAAATGAAGAAAAGTAATCAAATGTAATCAGTTACATTACTTTAATAAAGTGATTGAAATAATTACACTACTTATTACATTTTAAATAGGGTAACTTGTCATCTGTAAACTGTTACATTTCCAAAGTAACCTTCCCAACACTGTCCAAGACCAACTTCTCTAAGCTCTAACTGTATGTCTCTTTTGTTGAATTTTAGGAGAAACATCTGGGACAAAGTTAATACCAGGGCAGTCAAAGTGAGAAGAAAAAGGTGAATGTTTTCACAAACATACCTACTTGGCCAGTTGCCACCACGTTGGGGAACTTTGGGTGCTGATTAATAGTCAGGCACAGAATGTCATCACTGTGTTCCAAATAGAAACTCTGACAGGCTAAAGGCAAACAAACAGAGAAAAAAAAACAATAATGATTCTCCACAACATTTTTGTCACGTCTTCATGTCTGTTTGAAGGAACTCGATGAATAAAATCCATATCTAATCCACACTTGCTACTTACGCCCACTCTGGCACATTAAAATGCATTAAACATGCATTACATATGGCAGGTACCTAAGGGTTTTCTCCCCACCTGTTGTTAAGTTTAGGACGACCCCTACTGAGGCAGTGTGGTAAATAATGTCCGCCCCCTCATTAAGGTAATGCACATTGTTACGGCAGTCGTTGCCTCGGTAACCAAACACCAGTTCAAGCACCAGGTCCTGCAGAGAGAGTCAAAGAGGGGTGTCTGAGGTCGTATCCATGACAACAGCACAGAGTATCTGGCTCTCAGAAACTGTGTTGCAGTTCAAACAAGAGAGGCAAGAAAGATCATCTATCCACTGAGGGGACAGAGCATACTACAAGCTACAAAACCAAAACACTACTAAGTAATTTAAAGTATACAGTACTATGGCAAAAGGTGGGATTTATAAAAACAAACTTGACAGGAAAATGTGCGCACCTGCACGTAATCTCTGACCCATGCGTACAAACTCTTTTTCCTGGAGTGAGAAAATTAATGAAGCAAACAACAATTTTAAACTCTGTTTTCATATCGATATACACATTTACATTAAATATTCCACTCTCATTAATGGAGATAAGCACTGAAATTGCATAAAGTCATTACGCAGAAGTTAAACCAAAATTATATGGATTTAGACACATTTGTAGTGGATGTGCTTGATCGCTTTTCCTGTGGTATGCTATGTTTTAATGACAGCGAGGAGTGCTATAGGTGCACAATAATTCCTATTTAAACTAAACTGCTGATCTCATGTTATGAGAAAATATTAGAGAGAACAATAATCAATGTTGCGCACTTACTTCGATATTATGGCAGATACTGTTGGATTTGGTTTGAATAGGTCTAATGATAATAGCTTACTGTACAACTGCAGCTGCACAGAGGTGTTGATGTCGTGTGAAGACATCTCCACAACATTATGAAAAATAGCCTACCACTGTATTTGAAGGATACAACTTGAAGAAAACGGTAAGATTTACATGTTTCCTTTTAAGCACCAGGTCCTGCAGAGAGAGTCAAAGAGGGGTGTCTGAGGTCGTATCCATGACAACAGCACAGAGTATCTGGCTCTCAGAAACTGTGTTGCAGTTCAAACAAGAGAGGCAAGAAAGATCATCTATCCACTGAGGGGACAGAGCATACTACAAGCTACAAAACCAAAACACTACTAAGTAATTTAAAGTATACAGTACTATGTACAGAAAGATAGGATAGCATAGCGACGGGACAAAACAGGAAAAGGAAAAGGGAAAGGGAAAGGGAGGGTCATTAATGGAGATAAGCACTGAAATTGCATAAAGTCATTACGCAGAAGTTAAACCAAAATTATATGGATTTAGACACATTTGTAGTGGATGTGCTTGATCGCTTTTCCTGTGGTATGCTATGTTTTAATGACAGCGAGGAGTGCTATAGGTGCACAATAATTCCTATTTAAACTAAACTGCTGATCTCATGTTATGAGAAAATATTAGAGAGAACAATAATCAATGTTGCGCACTTACTTCGATATTATGGCAGATACTGTTGGATTTGGTTTGAATAGGTCTAATGATAATAGCTTACTGTACAACTGCAGCTGCACAGAGGTGTTGATGTCGTGTGAAGACATCTCCACAACATTATGAAAAATAGCCTACCACTGTATTTGAAGGATACAACTTGAAGAAAACGGTAAGATTTACATGTTTCCTTTTTAAAATACTTTGTCAGTGATGCACCGAATCACAAAATTGTATTTCCACTGCAATAAATATATTTATTTATTTAGAGCTAAAAGATGTTCAAAGTCCTAAATGGAGACAGGGTGGAGATGCACTTATGCACAATCTTCCCCTGACCGGGATTTATAAGGGGATTTTTGCGCCGTTTCTGGCGTACGCATGGTATTATAAATCTGAAAACTTTTGTACGTACGCAAAATCTAGCTTTTATGCATACATACACTTTCAGGATGAAATCTATGGAGAGTTTTATAAATGAGACCCCAGTTCTGTATAAAACTAGCTCAATTAATTGTCTTTACACTTAAAGAAGTAGTTCACCCAAACTTCTTACTCACCACCATGTCATCACAAACCTATATGACTTCCTTTCTTCCTTATAACACAAAAGGTGAATTTCTGAATAATATCTTAGCCACTCTCTTCAATATAATGAAAGTGAAGAAGGACTTAGGCTGACAGGCTTCAAAATCACAAAAAGCAACCATAAAAATGTCATAATGTGCTATATTCTAAGTCTTCTAAATAGTCAAGTTGCTATTCATCTAACTCTCCATGACACATTCATGTGAGTTCTTGAGAGAAGTAACCCCTTGTGAAAAAATTTGCTGTTTCTTAATACACTTAAAATGTAGACACATTTTGTCAAATTACTTTAAAGGGGTCATGAACTGAGAAACCAAAATTCCCTTGATCTTTTGACATGTAAGAGGTCATTGTACTATAAAAACAACACATAAGTTTCAGAACTCAAAACTTTGTCATTAGTCTAAAAACAGCTCATATTGAAGGCAGTCTGCCAAAACAACAGCTTTTGGTATGTTCTACTCTATGATGTAATAGTGTGGATAAGCACTGCATCCGCAGAAGAAGATCAACGCCTGCTTCAACATCCCTGCCTGTTTAGCCCCACCCACCGATTCGCGCATGTAGTGTTTATGAGAGAAGCAAATGCGCAGGTCTACGCAGAAACCAAATGATAAAGATGGCTCTGAAGACAACAAGATGCTGTGCAATGCCAAGTTGTGGGAAAACAGTGTTTGCATTGCCTTCTATCTGATCCCAGTGTTAGTAAAGAGTGAATGAACTTTATTTTTAATGAAGATCCAGACTGCATCAGTAAGAACTTGGCCCTTCGTTCACTTCATTTCACTGTGGATTCATTTTCAAACAAGGCACAATTCAATGCAGGTGAATGCTGTGATGCTGTGCCGACTATACTGGATCCTTATGAGTAACTGTAACATTGAGTAACATTGCGTGATCACTATTGCTTTGTCTCTTCTTGCAGATCGCTTGATATGTATTGAGTTATTTACTGTATGCATTTTTGACCTAAATCATAGCAGCGTCCATCTATGAGGAATGTACGCTGCATCCTTTACGCCAGATTTAAGCGCGTCCAGCCACAGTGAGTGAAAGGAGAATGAAGGATTTTTAATGCTTTATTGAACATCACAACTCACATAAAAAATGGAATACCAAGAGTAGAATACATAGATGTTTATGTCACAGTTACTTGCATTGCCAGGTTATTGTTTTGCATGTAAACCGGTAAATCAGGCTATTTCAATAAACATTAATCGGACTGATCCTTCAACAACAGTTGAAAATGATAAATAATAACTCATTAAATTTGATTTGTTCCTCACACTTTGCAATGTAGTGCATGATTTTCTGAAGCTTAAAAACTTCAGTCTACATTTGTTGTCACTGCATGAAAAAGAGTGAAGAAACCATCCATCTATCCATCTATCCAAACCACTTATCCTAAGTAATGTCACAGGGATACTGGAGCCTAAGTGGCCAACTACATTATTTAAAAATTCTCAGTGTGTTCAATGGAAGAAAGTAAGGTTTGGAACAGCATGAGGGTAAATGATGGGAGTTGCAGGGAGCAAAGCATGAGCAAAGTTCCCAGCAGCCAAAGAAGCAGCATTACTCTTTAAATAATTAGCGGTGGAGAGCAGTAATAAAGTCACTTCAAAGCAATGACAAAATATCTGCCAGCAAAGCACGTTATACAATGTAGTGCCATCTACTCTAATTTAAGACTGAAATTACTTGCTTTTAAAGCATCTTGAGCTTAAAATAAGAGCAAAACTTTGCGACAAGCTGTTTTACGGTTCAGTACAGGGATAAGGTGGGTTTATGGATCTGATGGCTGTTGCCGTGCAGTATAGTAAACATCCAAAGAGCAGGAGAAATGACACTTTCATTGGTCTTCTTACCTGACTATGCCCTGCCTTCACATGGTGAGAGAGAGGAGTGGAGTGCAGAGACAGACAGAGGAGTGAGGAAAATTGGAAAAGACAGACATGAGGGTAGCATGTCACTCAGAGCCCAAGTGTTCCATGAATTCACACTCATTGTTTTCAATGTTTTTAACTATTGTTCAACTCTTAATGTTCAAAATGCCCTGTTTTGGTTCAAATTGTTAATAAAACTTTTTAATACAACGTAATCTCAATTTTGATTTATCCCCGAGTTCTAAAAATCTAAAATTGCATATGCAGTAATGCAATTACAATGGAAATCTATAGGCAAGATAACTAAAGAGAGTAAATAAAACCCATTTAATGTATAAATCTTGTGGCTATACCTTTGAAACAGAATGTGTTCTAAATACATGTGAAGAATGTATTGTAATACAACTGAGCATTATTTGAACTGTAAAGCAGTCTATATCAATGGTTTTTAAACTTTTTGTACTTTAAGACCGCTCTTTGTCCAAGAAAATATCCAAACTTCTGTTGTAATTAAAAAATAAAGTTTAATGTTGTAGATCTTTATTTGTAGTGTTTCCTTTGCATTTTAATTAAGATGATGTTAATATAATGATACTAATTTTTATCATTAAAATTTAAATTTTTCAGACTTACTGGGGGCCCCCTGGAAGTTTACCATACTGTTCAGTGGATGAACTTTTGGTAAGTAAGGTCACAGTTTTCATGTTAGCACATTTAATATTTGAATCTTGTGGTTTTACCCATGACCGTAGCCAGGGTTTGAAAATGAGTGAGGTCCGGGGTGGGGTTAAGAATTGTGCTATAAACTATTACACTAAATACGTACAAAGGGACAGACATGTAGATGTTTGTGAAAGATGTTTTCTCTGTTTTGGAGGGATACCATATTTATTGCATCAAAATTTGTTAGTATTTTAGGTTAGGGGTGGATAATTTTATCAGTTGTTTATTAATCATGCAACAATACATATTACTGTTATAGTTTTCATTAATAATCATTGATGATAACTTTGTCTAGTGCTCTTTATTAATGTTTTTAGTATGACTTTGTGAAAATGTAACTACTATAGGCTACTGAATGAAATAGCATAGACTTGGCTATTCCATTTCATTCTGTAACCTACTTGTTCTACAGATCTGTGTACTGGTGTTAAATGCTACTGTTTTTGGCAGCGCTGATAATGTTTCTGACAGATAATATCATGATATTTTTTTGCGTTTGCCTTACCAAATGTGGTATCCTGTCAGCAATAACCTTGGGCTTTTTTGATTACTGTCAGTTTAAGTGTAGGCAATGCAGTGTTGCCAGATATTGCTATAAAAACGAATAAAAAACGAAAAATAAATAAAAACAAACCAAAATTATTTAAAATCCTTGGAAATAAGATAAGATAAAGATATCACTGACCCTAAACGGCAACTTGATTAACTTTCTAAAGTGTCAAATTAAGTGAAAAAGACAACTCCAAAAACACTTATAATAGCTAGATCTGGCAACACCGCCCGCGTCCTCGCTCACACCTCTCTCAAGACTCGTTCACTCCGCCAGCGTCTCGCAGCGATCATTTTCATACTACGAACATTCTTGCAAACTGTCTAAACTTGCAGACACTCCTATGAGGAGTTTTGCACAGCAAACTAGTCATTTGGAGAACAAATTTTACGAGGTCCGAACCTCTGTGACTTCATAGATGTCTACGGACCTGGTTTTACCTTTGAAACAGAATGTATTCTAATCACAGGGAAATGCCTATGCCCATAGACCTCCATTGTAAGTGCTTTATTGTAAATGCAATATTCAACAAGCAATTCAAAATTATTTTCTATGGTTAAAAAAAGAGAGATAAACTTATTTAATCAGGAACCTTCCTGTGAAAGACAGTTTGATATTCCGCTTTGGAAAGAGAGTTTGGTATTCCAACAGTAGCAGTAAATCATTTGGCTTTAGAGAGTGCGCCACCAACATGAGCTTATTCAGCATGGTATACTAGTGGTAGAGTGGTGGTGAATTTGAAATACAAGTGTTTAGAGAAGCAATAAAGTGGATAACTAAGAGTATTCAGTTCTTCATGTTACATCTCTGACCGGGTTACTGCATTTCAAAATCTAATTTACTTGAAATCTATTCATTATAATTAGTCTTTAGATGTTACTGGTAATGCAGGCTAATTTAATTAATGGCATAAAACACTGCATGTAACTCTATTGGTAACGACTGAACTTTTGGGAAACTCACCCAAGTTCTGATAAGCAGACAACTAGTTTACGCAACGGATAAATGTCCAATATTAAAAGTATGTACTAAATGTAAAAAATAAATATATAATACATGGTAACACTTTAGTATAGGGACCAATTCTAACTATTTACTAGTTGTTTATTAGCAGGCCTATTATTAACATATTGGCTGATTATTAGTACGTATAAAGCAAATATTCTGCATAACCATATCCAGCATCCCTAACCCTACCCAATATCAAAACTTCACTACCTAACTAACTATTAATAAGCAGCAAATTAGGAGTTTATTGAGGCAAAAGTCTTAGTTACTGGTTTGTTAATAACGAGAATTGGACCATAAATTAATGTGTGACCTAATACATAAAAATAAAAAATACTATAAATAAAATGAGAATTTTTTTTTTTAACAAAAGTTAAATTTAAATGTTATCACAACCTAATAACTGAAAGTATGAAATATAGAATTTCCTTTTAACATTTGGTTATGACTATTAAATAGAATTTATTAGTGCTATTACATTAATAAATGCTATTAAAGATACACTTTCAGTGGGTGCTAGATGATCAAAAGTATAATAAAGCATAAATATCCAATATTGACTGATACCAATAAATTCAATCACTAACATCAGCCGATAACTAATATGGTGTAAATACATATATTACATCCTTCAAAATATATCAAATATATCTATAAATACTGTACTTATTTAAACCCTGTTAGATTCATTAAACTGCCAAAGAAAGATTAGGTCATGAAAAAAGCGAAGCAATCCATGTTGCAGCCGAGGTTTTTCCATAATTCTGAACCTACTTACTGTCACCGTATATATCTGAGAACTGTACACAGGGTTGCTATGAACATTGACACCACATTGGCTGTCATTCCTAACTTACCTTTCGTCTACCGACGGCTCCTTCTGTTGTAAGTGGGGTTTGACCCCCGTCATGGGTCGCACGTTTGTGGATAAGGCCTTGATTACATAGATGATCTCATTCTCCCGAGTTACATCGCTGTCATACCCTACACAGATGGAGAGACACCTCACTTTTATATCATGACATACGCATTTAAATGAACATTTTATCATATGATGGATGGCTACCCTCTTTAAATCTAGATGACAGTAATAACTGTTCTTTATAACTGATCTTTTTCACCTCCATCATCTTCGCTCTCGATGTCTGACTCCTCACTGTCACACTGTCTGGCCTCTCGGCGGCCCTCGGTCTCATGGCTCCAGATCATCAGACAGGTGTCGGAGCCACCGACTGATGCCAGCAAAGAGTCATCATGCGACCAGCGCACATTAGTCACATGGGTACTGTGGGCCATGTACCGCTTAAACTTTGCATATTTTCCCTATTAAGATCAAGAGAATGTTAACATGTATGAAGGTAAATGATAAATGAAAATATCTGAAATTAGAGCCGCCTACACTCGAAAAAGGCTAAACATCTATGTCATTTATAAGTGCATTTTTATATAGAGTATAGCCAAAAATCATGGTTCCCTTTCAGTCAGTCACGTTCGACGTTACGTCAGTCGTGACTGACGAATTGGGATCTCGCCCGAAAGGGGGCGAGGATGGCGGTGCACGAGACCCAGTGTCCACACGGCCGTCCCCCTCTCCCTTCGCCAGTAGGCAGCAGGGTCCGGTTCAAGGACGCTATGCCTCCTCACGAGCCCCCTCCCTCCTTCAGGGAACGAGGGTTACACAAGTAACTGAGACGTTTCTGGTTTAAACCTATTTAGTTTAGTTTTTCTGAAAGCAACTTACTCTCCCCATAAAAAAAAAAATTTAAAAGAAACAATTTTGTTTCTTCCACTTCACTTCTTGTCTGTTCTCCGTACTCTGCTTGCCAAAAAAAAAATAAAAATTAAATAAAACAGTGTTGATGTGCAGAACACATTTTAGCAAGCTTTAATGACTGCAGAAAATTTTGTGGATTTTGTTCATTTTTAGTATAGAGTTTTTAGTAAATAACATAAAATATAATGCATATTTTAAAAAGACATCAGGATAAAGATTTATTTACAGTAAGCAAACTAAATTAAACACTGACTAACAAAATGTTGTTAGTTATAAACTAAGTGAAAAAATAAATAATATATATATAATTTCTTTCTAATATTAAGTCAAAAATGTGAGGTTTGACCCACACCATAAATATAATTTGAGAAAAACTAATATATTTGTCTGTGACAAATATTTTTCCAAAGTATCATTTTTCAGAGTATCAAAAATAAAGTACAAAGTATCATTTTGTACAGAGTATACATAATAATCTAATCTAATAATCAAATTAATCTTGATTGAAGAAATCAATAAATAAAATCTAAATATAAAATTTTAAATATACAGTTCCCTCCACTATTGGCACCCTTGGTAAATATGAGCAAAGGCGGCTGTGAAAATAAATCTCTCCTAGTTGAATGGAACTTCTTAATTATTGCCCTGATAATGGAAATGGGGATTTTAAATGCTTTAGCTATTTCTTTACAGCACTTTCTATTTCGTGAAGCTCAACAAACTTGTTCTGCACATCAGAACTATATTCTTTGGTTTTACTCCGTGATGGATGATTAAGGGAATTTGGCCTTTGTATTCCTCATATTTATAATCCTGTGGAACAGGAAGTCATGTCTGGACAATTTCATGCTCCTAGTCAACCTGGTGTGCTAAAATTTTTTAAATATGAATATACATCAGATATATTTTACTCATAAGAATTTCTAGGGGTGCCAATAATTGTGGCCAAGGTCTGCTTCTTCCCACGAGGGGCCTCAAAAAATAGCTGCTCCTTTGCCGATGTGTTGACCTGCAAAAGCTTCCCTAATACAAGAAAACAGAAAAGAGATGCTGAGATGTAATGAAACTTTTTCCTATGTCTTCTTTATTTTCTTTTGCAACTTTTCAAGGACTTCTATACATACAGTAGATTTTATTGCCCTTGACCTAAACTTAGACTTTCAATCAGACTCAATCATACATTAACCATTTCATTTTTTATTGTTTAAAAATTTCTTACATCAATTTTTCAGAAATTACAAATGTCCCTCAGTTGTGGTGTAATTTCCAGCACAACGAACAACTGTGCAGCTAATAAAGATTTTTCTAAAGTCAGTGTAGTTTACCAAGGAGACAACAGTGTTAGGAAGAGCCTGAGATGACATATGACATTTATAATATGTGAGAAAACCAAAAACAAAACAAAGAAATTGGATTATTGTCAGTATGAAAATGATATTTAATGGGGAGTATTTTGGATATATAAAAGGTTAGCTATAGCATTAGCCTAATCAAAAGAAAGTCGGTAATTTTGTTCCCAAAATGTTAGAAAATGTAATTTCACAGAGTTTTATAAAATATTATACATATATATATATATATATATATATATATATTGTGGCGAGTATCCCGAGTCCAGATTAGCGTCGCCCTGGTGCATCTCAAAAAATTTGAATATCGTGAAAAAGTTTTTTTTTTTGGTACCTTATTTCAAAAAGTGAAACTTTCATATGTTCTAGATTCATTACAAGTAAAGTAAAACATTTCAAAAAAAAAATTTTTTATTTTGATTAGAGCTTACAGCTCATGAAAGTCAAAAATCTATTATCTCAAAATATTAGAATATTTCCTAAGATCAATCAAAAAAAAAAAAAAAGGATTAGCAAAACAGAAAAGTTCACGTTCTTTAAAGTATGTTCCCTTATGCCCTCAGTACAGGCACTATTGAGCCTTCAGCTCATCTGTATTGTTGGATCGACTGTTTCTCATTTTTCTCTTGAAAACATCCCATAGATTCCATATGGGGTTCAGGTCAGGCGTGTTGGCTGGTCAATCAAGCACAGTAATATCATGGTCAGCAAACCACTTGGAAGTGGTTTTGGCACTGTGGGCAGGTGCTAAAGTCCTGCTGGAAAAGGAAATCAGCATCTCCATAAAGCTTGTCAGCAGATGGAAGCATAAAGTGCTCCAAAATCTCCTAGTAGACGGCTGCATTGACTTTGGACTTGATAAAACACAATGGACCAATACCAGCAGACGTCACGGCTCCCCAAATCATCACTGACTTCAGAAACTTCACACTGGACTTCAAGCAGCTTGGATTCTGTGCCTCTCCAGTCTTCCTCCAGACTCCAGACCTCGATTTCCAAAAACTTCACACTGGACTTAAAGCAGCTTGGATTCTGTGCCTCTCCATTCTTCCTCCAGACTCCAGACCATGATTTCCAAATGAAGTGCAACATTTACCTTTATCTGAAAAGAGGACTTTGGACCACTGAGCAACAGTCCAGTTCTTTTTCTCCTTAGCCCAGGTAAGATGATTCTGACGTTGTTTCTGTTTCAGAAGTTTTCCTGAAGACGTCTGAGCGTGGAGACTCTTGATGCACTGACTCCAGCTTCAGTCCACTCGAGTGGATCCAGCGAGAGCTTGATGGGGCGATGCAGAATGAAAATGTTTTTCAGGAGTCGCGGCAATAGAGGCGGCGCATCTATAACGACATGTGAATAATCACGCCCACTCTAAAGCGGTACTGAACTGCAGTGGAAACGCAAACTGAGCCGAGCGTGCCGTGTCGTACCGTACTGAGCCATGCCGAGTCGTACCACGCAGTGGAAAAGCACCATTTGTGGAGGGTGTCAATGATTGTCTTCTGGACCATTGTCAAGTCAACGTTGATAGCAGAGGAGCGGATCCAGAGAGCTTGATGGGGCGACACAGAATGAAAACGTTTTTCAGGAGTCGCGGCAATAGAGGCGGCGCATCTATAACGACATGTGAATAATCCCGCCCACTCTAAAGCGGTACTGAACTGCAGTGGAAACGCAAACTGAGCCGAGCGTGCCGTGTCGTACCGTACTGAGCCATGCCGAGTCGTACCACGCAGTGGAAAAGCACCATTTGTGGAGGGTGTCAATGATTGTCTTCTGGACCATTGTCAAGTCAGCAGTCTTCCCCATTATTGTGGTTTCAAAGAACAAGAGATACCTGGAATTTATACTGTAGGGATGGTCATTTAATGAAACTCAAAAGTAAATATTCTAATATTTTGAGATATTTTTTTGATTTTTGACTTTCATGAGATGTAAGCTCTAATCATCAAAATTAAAAAAAAAACAAAAAAAAAAAAAACGTTTGAAATAATGAAACTTTTGTAATGAATCTAGAATATATGAAAGTTTCACTTTTTGAAATGTTTCAAATTTTTTGAGATGCACCTACAGGTATATATTTAATTAACTAGAAACATTTAAAAAACAAGTGTAAAAGTGATTTTAAAGAGTTGTAAAACAATACTTTTTTGCTTTGAAAGAAATGTTGTAAAGCATAGTAAAAGGAGTTGGTGTGATTCAAGGCAACTTCGAGAGCACTTTTGTGCTCTGTAGAACATCTCACAGCAAATGGAATGTACTGCTAGTTGAAAAAAGTGTTCTTTGACATTTAGAAACTGCGTTTTCTTCCAACTAAAACATTTACATTCTTGGGGGGAAATCATTTGTATATAAACTGCAGCAGTATACAATGCAACATATCACGAACAAGATGATGGAAAATCAATGCATGAATCAAACCCTCTTGAAAAATCCAATAATTTTCTGACACGTTTTCCATCTTGCCTACTCAAAACCACAGTAATTAACAGGACATGGATAACGAGAACACACAAGAGATGTCTTTACTTCAACTAGTCTCCACATTGCATAAGCGTATAAAGTTATATATAAATCAGACACATTGCATCCATCACTATCACTCATGTTGCCTGAAATCCCCAACTCGCACTAAAGATGAATGACTTCTGGTTGCTTTGTTGCTGCAAAATGCTGTCAGTGTGAACTTCCCTTGACTCCTTTGCTCTCTGAAATCCAGAGTTTGTGTCTCGTATCCATCTCACCTCTCTTGTCCCAGTCCAGATGGGTGATGTAGTTCATGGAGCCTTTGCACACACCAACCCTCTTGCTGTTCATCACATTGTAAATATCCACAAAGCTGTCACCTGATGCCACAGCCAAATACTTGCCTGTTACTGTAATAAAAATCAGTTTTTCAGTTTTGAGCCTTACCACGACCCAGCTATCACATTCTTATTAACATGTTAATATATTCCTGCAAGTATTTGTTCATTACATTAGCATATGTGAATGTACATCATACCGAATAGATCAGATGAAATAATTCTTGTTTCTCAGTACTCAAAGCATTTCCATTGTACTGATATTAGTGTGTTAACTAACCAGGAGAGAAGCGGATTTCTGATATGATGTCTTTGCGGTGATGAAATGACACCAGGTCTTCTAGAGTGTCTGCGTTGACGATGAGGAAGCTGCCATCATTGAGGCCCACGGCCAGAGCTTTCCCATCTGGAGAGAAGCAGCAACATCGCCCACCTGCACAAAGTTATAAGTGTTAAATGCTGTCACATCAAGCATGACAGCTAATCAGATTGATTCTCTTTATAGCCACATATGAATGTCGAACAATGGCCAGGTAGTAAGCAAAGGGTTAGTTTAAATACCACCCATTATTTCTTCACATTATTCCAAACCTGTATGACTTTCGTTCTTCTGTGAAATGTAAAAGGAGAAGTTTAGCAGAATGTTTACGCTGCTCTCTTCTGTACAATAAAAGCATAAGGTGGCGTTCACACAGAACACTTTTCCATTGTTTTTCTATGTAAACATGCTAAAAAGACATGTTTGACTTTCGCGCTCGCATCTTGCGTCTTTTGAAGTATTTTGTTCATGACGTGGTGTTCTAATAACACAGCATTTAAAATAAGTTCAACTTAAAAAAAAAAAACAAAAGGGTCGGGGCCTTGCGTTTTTGGCCCCAAAGGTAACAAACAACTGTCAACACCAAAAATAAAACAAAAAATGCAACATAAAAGTTATATAAGATGCCTAAATTCATGTGTAGCATTTACAATTATGGATTTTAGTGTTTTATTTTTCATTTATTTTGAAAAAATTGTATAGGATTTTAATATCGGCCATAACATAAACGTAATATTGGCCATAACATGAAATTCTGTCATCAATTACACACTCTGATGTGGTTTCAAACCACACTTTGGAAAAAAACACACTTTGCATGTTTGAATATGCATAAATGCAAATGAGAAATGAAGACTATACTGGAGGGTACGCTTTCAGTAAATATCAGTCTGTTTTTCGCAAAAAGATCAAAGAACAAATGTCGAATGGTGTACTTTTATCTAACTTAGGAAAAATCTCAACGGTCTGAAACAACATGTGGATAGAATTTCAATTTTTGGATGAAATCTCTTGAACCCATTACACAATCCTCTAATCGCTGTCAAATAAGTTTTCATTGTTCACTATCCAAGTAAATATACAAAGACCCAGTGTACTCTAAGGATAATAATCATAATATAGTTTAATTAGGGTTGATGAAGGATCTGGTCTATCAAGCATTATTTGATTAAATCACTGGTCTACAGAGTATCTTGAGCAGCAGTCGTTCCTCAACAAAAATTAACTACAACCATCCCCTTTAGAGATTCTGCCCTCAGGCAATCAATATGCTCTTAGGGCTAATTTGCATGATGAGTGTTCTTCACTTAAGTTATATTTTTCAGCGCAAATTGTGTTTCTGAAGCATAACGAGGTCAAGCATTGTGTAGGCTAAGCTTGGAATACAAATCACAAGAAGAGCACATAGATAAGGATATTTATAATCAGACAGAGGGGTGTTTTGTAGACAGTAATGCATGTGTGCTTCGAATTTATGTCACTGAAAAACAAGCTAGTGAAGAACTGTAGCTGGTCATACAGTTATTTCTCCTTGTTACATCATAGTAGTTACCCTTAGCATGGTTTAATTGCTGTAAGGTTGTAATATTATAAGGACGGAATAGATCACATGACTTTGACATGCTTTCTTCTGCAGAACACAAAAGAAGACTATAAAAAATACACTTTTGGTTACCACTGACATTTACTGTATGGAAATAAACTGAAAATACACATTTCTCAAAACATGCTCCACAGAAGAAAGAAGGTTTGGAAAGACATGAGGGTGAGTAAATGATGACAGTTTTTGGGGTCTATTCCTTTAAGGAAGCCCTGTACAATTAAGTTGGAGACCATTTGTAGAGGTCTTGAAATTGACTGTTTAGGGATATGCATTGATGTAAAAACTGATTTACAAAAAAAAAAAAAAAATTTAAGTTACTCTTCAAATCCTTGTGAAATAGAAGTGTTCTTAATTGTAATTAATGTGCATTTGTTGTCTACCTCAAATCTTAAAAGTATAGTTTTATACAACTGTACATGGAGATAAAATATAATTGAATTAAAGGCCAATTAAGTACACTTTTTATGTTTCTTAACACACTTAAAAAGTGCATGTCATGATAATTTGAAATGAAACGTTTTACTAAAAAGTTTTATATTAAATTAAAAATATAGTACAAAAATGTTTTACTATAAATTAAAGGTTTTAGTGTATACTATAAATTTGAAATTATGTTTTTGTCATACTTTCAAGAAGTACACTTATTAACATACCGAAACATATACTTGATTCATATTTTAACTGTAGTGTGTTATTTGAAATTACATTTAAATATAAATGTTTTAATATTAATATTTTAATACATTTATATGTTTTAAATGTACTAAACTGTCATTATTACAAATGTATAAATTCAAATACAAAAACAATTTAAGTGGGTAAAAAATTATTCTTTCGACTTATTACATTTAGTATAAATTTAAACTATAATATATTTTCATTTAATTGTAGATAACAAGCATCCAAAACCATTACACTTTGTTCACACTTAAATATATTATTTCTGCAATTAGTACCTTTTTCAAAAGTACGCTACAGGTATATAGTACTTCTTTTTCATGAAGGAAAATTACCAATATTTTTTTTCCACTGAAGTTTATAAAAAACCATCTTAACACTCTTAAATTCTCAAGGCAAGGAAGAACTGCGAAACTAGTTCAATGACACATTCTTTAGGAAAATCATTGCAAAACCACATCGTACAGTAGCTTAATTTTAGGGTAGCAGTAAAATGCATTGTGAATATTCAATATATGACACTGCCCTAGCCCGTTGCTCCAAATCATCCTTGTTACTGTATGCTGTTTTAAGAGATTATTGAGTTTTACTTTTATTCATATAACAATATTTGGTAATCACTTTAATTTGTATTTGTGCTTGTTACACTACTATAGTAATAACACTAATTTATGCAGGATTACAAGTAACAAGAACTAAACAAACCTCTAATCCTAAACCTATAGTAAGTACACACTCTTAATTACTATTGCTCAGTACTCACTAATTAATTTAGAGAACTACAGACTGGTTTCCCTTCTACCTTTCATTGCAAAAACACTTGAACAAGTTGTGTTCAACCAAGTCTCAGCCTTTCTCACACAGAACAACCTCCTGGACAGCAACCAATCTGGCTTCAGAAGTGGACATTCGACCGAGACTGCCTTGCTTTCAGTTGTTGAAGCCCTAAGACTGGCAAGAGTGGCTTCCAAATCTTCTATACTAAGTCGCTTTGGATAAAAGCGTCTGCTAAATGACTAAATGTAAAATTACACTGCAACTCGGACACATTAAAAGAAAGTGTGACCCAATATTTTATTAAGGCCTGTGAACACATGGAAAAAGCTGCAGATTCTAATGAGTAATTAGTAAACATCTTCTTACCTTTCTTGAGTTTGCGTACGGCGAGCATGCAGTGGCTGGGGGAGAGATCCCATATGCGCAGGGTCTTATCGTCGCTCACAGTGGCACACAGTGGCAGATGCGGGTGAGTGGCAAGACCCCAGACCTCACCCTCCATGTGGCCCTAAATACAGCCCATACACACACACACACACACACACACACACACATGATTTAATACTAACACATCAACATAACTGTCATTCTTTTCAGCACAAACACATCTCCTTTCTTATGCTCATGACAGACATCAAGCTTTTTCCGCCTGAAAATTGTATTTAAAAGAGTACATCTACATTTTTCTAGTGAGCATGGTGGCAGTGATTCATCAAATGATGGAGAAGGCCATTATAACTGGGCATATATCCAGACACATGGTGTTAAAGAGCTGATTCAGAAGCCTGGAAAACAGTGGTGGAGTGATGCTGTACAGTCCCAGTAAAGTACGCCAGATCATGATAGTCTGCCGTATCCTCCGCAGTCTTTACCTCGCAGTCTATACCTGATTTGCATTTCTTTTTAGCGAATCGGATGCTAAAATAATCCACATGCAAATAAACAATACTGTCAGCAGGCACAATTCATTTTTAGAGAATTTCCCCTAGTTTATTCTGACGCACCTAAGGGATCCATAAAAGGTTTTCCGGAAAAGCATTTCAGAGTGCAATAAATAAGAATTCAATCAAGCTCAAATGTTTTCTAGCAGCAAGTAGGACCTATAAAAATCTATGACTAAGGCTAACTAAATGCAGAGTTTTGTTGTTGTTTTTGTTCATTTCTACATCCTACTAATCACTTGATAAATTAACAAGCTAAATAAAGCAATGGAGGGTTTGCACCAACTGATATATAGCATTTAGTAGGTAAACAATGACTTCAATAACAAGCACCAACCTGCAATTAATCACTGTGTCTGGCTCTAAAACTCAAGCCACACAAGCCAAAAAGACACATATTTAATCATTGCCCAAAAACCAACTACTTTGCTTAACCATGACAGTCTGAGTACAGAAATACTGGAAAACTACTATTTTTGCCCAGTCTGCAGTTACTGCCGTTTACCATTTATTACATAACAACAGCCTCGGACCATTTTGTTTGTCCCTGAAGTGGAACTGGAGCAATTTAGTTCCAGTGATGATGGCAAAACTGTTGTGCAGAACACAACATTACAAAGTGGTTCAGTGGTGAGGGCAGGTGGAGAGACAGACACTTGACTGACTCATTCATTCTCAGGGTCATTTACGGGTGCTGCTGTAAGGAAAAAAGTTTTACAAAGTAGATTTGTATTTCTAGAAGAAAATAACACTGTTTGCAAGACAGCGATAAGGAGAAAAGAGTTTTAAAAAATCCAAGTATAGGTAGTAGGACAAAGAATGACAGGCATATGTAATACAGGAAGTTAATTAGATGTATTTTGCACAATTTTGTATAGAAACAGGCCTAAGAGAGAAGACCTATCACAGTTCAGTATGCAAATACTACAATTGACCAATGTTTTTAAAGACAAAAACAGATGGCAAACTTAAGACTGAAATTTCTAAAAATCTGTTCTAAACAGCTGAAGAAACCTAAATGGTTCAAACTAAATTAAACACAACAGAAAAATGCCTTGAAACCACCCTAACAAAGTTTATAATGTATATACTGTATATTACTAGAAAAAAATACTATACTAATAGTATAAACCATAAGCCACAAGATCAACCAATGAAACATCAACCTTCTAAAAGGTTTTAATAAGAGTTTTATTTTCTCTTGCATAGCTCATTATGCCTCAAATGTAAAGAGCTACTGTGTTGTGATTTAAATAGATGAACCGTAATGGGGATTGAAAGTTTCTTAACGGTTGTTTTTGGTCAAGTTTTTTAAACGGTTGTGTAATACATATTACCAGCTCACTGTCATAACGAACAGAAGCAGGTGTTGTCAGACATATCAAAGAGGCTTTTTTGAGTCTGACAGATAAAAAAGCCTTCATGTTGTTGCACAAGGTATGTGCAGACAGTTCCGGTCCTTGTCTGATGATTGGCTGAGCCAAGTTGTTGTAAAATACTCTATAAACACACAACTGTGACCTATAAACACCAGTATTACTGCACCACTGCATTGGTTTCTTGCTGCTTCTGTGTGTTGCTTGGTAACTCTTCTGCTAAACATTACTGGAGAACATCACATTCTACCTATTAACTCCCCTTCACTGTTCTAAAATCACTGTAAACCATGGCTTCTTTGGGTTTATTGCTTTAATGTATGCACATGGTTTATTCACGAGTGCATAATTTAATTGAGGGAAGGCCGCATGAATCTGTTAAGCCTCTTAATTTTCAACAATTTAGCTCATTAGGGAAAAACACAGTAATAATCTTTAAACAATCCTTTATTTAGTCTTATTTCTCAGAGTGTTTTTTGCCCCCATGTTTCATGGCTTGTCATGCTAATCTGACAGCTGAATCTGTGCCTTACCTGAACCAGAAGAGTGATGGGCCCATTTTTGTCCACCTCCAGAATCTCTCCGTTCTTTGTTCCTACAAGAATATGCCCATGACCCAAAGATATGGCACGAATGGAGGGGTTGTCCTCTAAAAGCAAACCTGCAGGAAGGGACGTGTTATAAATAAACACTCATCCATGACCTTGGCTTTCTATTTATTAAACACACTGAATGTTCTTTGAGAATGCATGGATGTTTTTGAATGGCTTTAACTGCATAAGTTATTCACACTGTTGAAGCTACACTGCAAAGACTGTTTCTTAATTAGTATTTTTGTTTTGTTTTCCAGTAAAAAATGCAAAACAGTGTACAATAAAATAGATAGATAGATAGATAGATAGATAGATAGATAGATACTGTAGATAGTCTTTGAAATAATGCAAGAAATGTACTCACCTTTGGAGCCTGGGGCCAGCACCGCTCGTTTTATGGCATACGTCTTGAGGCATCTCTCAAACGTGTCGTCCCACAAAGCCACTATTCCATCCTTTCCACCAGTCACAAAACCCTTAGTAACAACACATTCACATAATATTTCTGAAATATTTAAAGGGACAGTAACTCAATCTTATTTCCTATTTGAAGCTAAATCTGATACCTTCTCCAGGGCGTGCATGCTAAAAACAGGCCCATCATGAGCTTTGACGGTTTTCACTAGGAACATGTCTCTCCAGATGCAGATGTCTCCAGTGCAGGTTCCTGAGAACACCATTTCTTCCGTCCAGCCGTATACCGCGCTCATCATTGTTTCGGTTTTTCCCATGCTGCCCTTCTTCCCAATCAGTCCACCGCCTGAGAACAGCAAAGGTTTGTGAGATGATCTCTGACAGGGGAAGTGTACTGATTCACATACTCCACAAGACATGCGCAAGATGTCCATGTGAATCCGTATACATTTGAAAACACTTATTTTCCTCTAAGTTTTGGCCTTTTGTACACATTAATGGCGCTTTTCCACTGCGTGGTACGACTCGGCTCGGTACGAATACACCTTCCAGCAAAAATTGACCTTTTTGAAGATGTTCTCCCAAGTGGATACATTTGAAAACACTGTTTTCATGTGTGGACTGTAAAACAGACGAATTCAAAAACGATGATGCACATTTAGTCATATGCTTCAAATTGTACCCCTTATGTATCTAAGTTTGTGCCACAATGTTGTGCCTGCTATTCACTTTGCCCAAAATAATGTTGCTAAAGATAAGCGTTACTTTGTAATATCTTCATATTTCATTTCTGCAAAGTTGACAGAATATTTACTCACAATTGCTATTCTGTGGCAAAAGATGATGAGTTGCATTTTAGTGTGTTACATGACAAAGATATGCTAAAAATGGGTAAGCTTTATAGACGACAATGTTGTCAAAATGATCCTGTTCACACAGATCTGTGAAAATGACTTAAAATGCTGTATTATGCATGCCATAACACATAATACGCATGTGCATGACATTGTTTTCACACATTTGTGTTTTTGTAGTTTACACAGAGACAATAATGGTATAGTTTTCAAAAACGTACACTTACGCAATCATGCCAAGAAATGCTGTTGTCATGTAAATGAACGGCCAAAGTGCATAAAAAGTTTTACATTTTTTGGTGAAAATGGTGTCGTGTAAATTCCCCCTAAGACCACTCATGGAATGACAATTTTGAGTGCGACCTGTGTCATCTGAATGAGCGACTTTTGGAAAACACTTAAACATTTTTGGATGGAGAGCATTTTGAAATGAAAGCACCGTTTTCAAATATATCCGGATTCATATGGACATAGCCATAGACCTACCTGCTCTATGCCAAAACTTCATGTGTTTCACTCCAGCGGTTATCAGTTTGTCTGGCATGTACGGGTTGATTTTAATGACAAACATTTTGTCTTTACTTCCCCTGTAAATAAAAAGAGAGACATTTACAGTATGTTGTTAAATGTATTTGGGATTCTTTTGCTGACACCAAAAAGGATGAACTGAACAGCCCTCGATCTTTTTTAAGAGTTTAAAGGTTTGCAATCGGCACTGTAGGGCTGTAATTGACCTGTCTGCTGTGCTGTTTCCACTGTCTGAGTGCCGGTGGGGAATTTAGCAGCACGGGGGGCAGTGGCTGTTTGCGATTTTGCATTAGGCCCAATGTGGAGCGGGCAGAGCACTGAGCAGTGACTGCACTGTCAGGCCCTATTTACTTCCACCCGCACAAGCATCCTCTCTACCAGAGAAAGCCCCAGGAAGGAGTTGGCTGGAGCTCTGCACTACCTATGAACTCAAGAGCATCCAGACAGGGGAATACAAATGCTTCAAACTCTAAGAGCAAGTATGCACTCTTTGAAACCTTGCTATATTACCACAGTAAACCAGAGAGAGGATGTACATTACAGTGTTTTTAACAGGTTAAAAGAGTTGTAGTTGGATGTAATGGTAGCAACAGCTGTTTTACACAAGATTTTGAGAGTTTCTTAAGAAATTCTAGGTTGCCACCACATTCCAAGAACATTGTGGATGCTTGCCAGAGCTTTTCTGTGTAATACTTAAGGCTAGTAATAATAATGTTTTGAACGTGGTTTATATAGATTTTAAAAACAGAACTTGTGTTAGGCAAGTTTTAAAGGTTTTTAAAATATTAAGACAGTTTTATATTTAGTGTATAAACACCCATTTATATTGGGAAAAATAAAATAGTATAAATATGTGCAACTGTTTTCTGACCAGTTTAAATGTAAGTAATTGTTCCTTTTTTTATTTGATTTATTTATTTAGTTATTCATTTATTTATTTAACACATTTTCTCGGAAATATTCTATGGACCCTTGCGGCTCACTGTGTGGGATTTTAAAAGCCAGTTTTAAAACAAAGAAAAGTCTAATATAAGCACTAGAGATACAACACCAATACTCCCATTTAAATGAACACAACACACCAAATAAATAACTAAATACAATTTTAATTAACATCTAACAGTATTTTGTGACAGAAGGATAAAACAACCCTTAGTTTAATATTTCAAAGTATTAAAAAGTGTCATTAAAACTTTGGCTGCTTGGTGAAAAAAGCACAAATTTTCTTTTAAAAATAGTTGATATGGATGCTGATATGTGATCCTGTGGCTCAGTGGTAGAGCATTGCGTTAGCAGTGCAAAAGGTCGTGGGTTCGATTCCCAGGGAACACACATACTGGTAAAAAATGTATAGCCTGAGTGCACTGTAAGTCGCTTTGGATACAAGCATCTGCTAAATGCATAAATTATAATCAAAATTATATGAGAGATATCTAATTGCTTGTCTCTTTTTGAAATAGCCAATAGGGGTTTAGTTTACACCACAGATTCGCTTCTAGTTATTAATAGTCAATTATATAGGTAATACTGGAAGAGGGAATTCATTCTAGATACAATTTTATTGGACAGATATTTTTGAGTCATCAATATATATATTTTTTTTTTCCTGTAAGATAATTACTGTGACTTTCACATGCTTATATCTGCCAAAAGTGTATTTTGTCAGCTTTTAGGAGCACACTAGCACATAATTTGCCCCAAGCAAACAAACTTGGGCTACAACTTTAACGAAGCAAAGCAGGTATTATTCACTCACCGGATGGTGGAGAGCTTCTCTCCTTTCCTCCATTCCCAAAGGACGATGGTATGATTGTCATCCAGACCCACTGAAGCCAGCCTCTTCCCATCTGCTGCAGAGACAGACATCATACAGTACGGCTCTGTTTATACTCAACATCAGCCAAATAATAGCATGTATATCATGTAATGATTTTATACCATCTCCACCCTGCTAACAATGTGTAAAGTAACAAAGTAATACAATGTGACAGCATCGCTCCAGTGGAAATTTTAATTGGATGGCATCTAATGAGAATAATCATTTATGCTTAGGCCCATGACATTGACAGATACTAGGAGGCTCTGCTGTTTTAGCTTTGCCAAGAGAAGCTCTTCTATAAATCTGACCCTTTGATTTTAAACACGAAATTTGTCAAAGAATGTTTCAGCTATTTCAGAATCAATACATACAAAAATAAATAAATGTGATCGGTGGTTTTACATATTAGCCACATGGACTATTCCTGCATAAATGGGCAGTTTATAGCAAAAATAATCTGCAAAATGGAGAAGAATATGTGGCAAAGTCTGTATGTGCAAGACTAACAGGCTTTCTGCAGCTTACACAGTCAAGGCCAAGTCATGGGTTTGATTCCCAAGGAATGCAATAACTAATAAAAGTGTGTATACCTTAAATGCAATGTAAGTCACTTTGGATAAGAGTGTCTGCCAAATGCATAAATTTAATAGAGATCAGAATATGGAGAACCTGCTCAGGTAAGTTTGCTATGAAATCCACTGTTACAAATCCTATTCAGAGCTGTTACAGATAGATAAAATGTCATCTTCTGAGTGTCAAACAGTTCATGCCTCACTGTTAAGAAAATATAACAAAAAAAAGATTCTAAAAAAACATTCCTTTTGATTCTATGTTCCACTCAAAGCTTCCTTTGTTTCACGCAAAGAACAACACACACACACACACACACACACACACACACACACACACACACACACACACAAGGTGGCTGACCTATTTTTTCCAGACTGGAAATACTATTCTATTCATACTTTGATTCAGACCATGAGTCATACTATTTTATATGTGTCAGAAAGTGGAGCTATTTGTTCATTGTAGTATTTGAAGGATCATTTTAGTCTCCTAAAGTCTTCTTTTTGTTGTATACTTTGGCTCTTCACTCCACTTCATAAAGAATATACAATATAATTCAAAAGTTTGGGGTCAGTAGGAATTTTTTAACTTAAGAAATTAATACCAATTTTTATCGAGGATGCATTAAATTGACAAGAAATATTGACATTAAAAAGTGAAGTTCTTTTAATCTTTAAATCAACAGTAATAGTTATGTTGCCACTAATAATCAGGATACCAGACTTGACCTCAGGGTGGGGCTTTTTTTCACAGTGCATACCTGAGAAGTCAAGTGCGCACACCCCAAACTGGTGGAATCCTTTAAGAACAGACAATGGCTTCAAAAACTCTGTTTCCCATATATGAATAGAAGAATCACGGCCCACCTGGATAAGAAACAAACACAGATAATTAAAATGCCCTGACCATAAGCTGAACTAAATCTATTCTATTCAGGAGAGAAACATCTCTGCTCTGTGTACTGTTGATGACAAAGACAGACGTTTGTTCAGCTGACTGTACCTGGCCTGTGGCTACATAGTCTTTGACGGGGTGGATGGCCAGACAGAGGATGTCATCATCATGGCCCAGGTAAAAGCGCTGTGTGTTCTGCTGTCTGTTGTACACCACTCCCACAGCCGCCACATGATACACAATCTCACCGGTCTGAGTGTAGAAGAGGTTACTTCTGCAGTCATAACCTCTGTAACTAAAACACATTTACACACACACATATTAAAAATGTCCCCTCGATCATAGCTCATCCTATACCCTATACTAAAGTCACTTGCATGCATGGATGTACATATCTATCTGAATGTAATTGTATTCAAGCGAATTTGAATATTTCCAAATCTTCTGAATCCTTTCACCAAAACAATTTGCTCTGTAATGACATAACTAAGCCATAGGTGGCGACAAATGAATGCTTTTTTTTTAATCATGAGTGAGCCACTGAATAAGGCACTCAACTGACTTGTTTAAAAAACAAGTTTTTTACGAATGAAACAAGTCTTATTATACTTTATTAAAAATTGCATGTACAAATCTACCAAGAGACTCCAGAAAGACAGAAATTCTGTCATTCTGTCACCGGAACATCTAGTTATGACATTTTGATGAGGTCATGAATGATGCACAGATGAATTGTTCACAATAAGATCTGTAATATGTATTTTTTTTTTAAAGCAAAAGGTGAATTTTCATTTCATGCTGACTTTGAGCATTGAGATACAAATTACAACAAAGCTTTTTTTTATTTATTTTTTTTATCCATTTTGTAAACTGCAGAGCATAACTTGTATCTAGCTTTAGAAAAGCAACACTGGCCTAAATACATTTCATGATGTCCTTACATCTATACATTTGCAGTTCACCTTAATGCAGCTGTAGTTGTCATTGCAGACCTTTGAGTTCATCTGAGGGTTTTTGAGAAGGATTAGCACGTTTGAGTGTTAAAAGACCAAAACTGAATCTGATGGGCAACTGTGTTGTGAGTCCAACCCAGATCAGTTTCCAGGACAACTTCTACACTGGTGAACAGCACAAGACAGCCTTTCACTTTCTTCCCCGACTCCAACTTATCTCAGAGTAGTTAGTTGGAAAGCATGAGCTTGTGGGCATAGTTTTAACTCCCTTCAGTCTGCCATGTAAAGGGTGAAAAGGAAAGCAGACAGCACGGTTCCTGAGACACCTCAGCGTTGGTCACCATCTTCTCCAGAACACAGCTGGAGGCTGTCAGAAAGGTCTAGTAATCCAGCAGACTTTGGGGGTGTCCACGTGCATCACTCTGAGCTTTGTCTGAGTCAGAGAGGCAGGCTGATGTTGAAGGTATTGGTAATGTCAAAAAACATCAACCTGGAGACAACCTTCATAAGATCTGTGAACTGACAGCAACTGCTCTATAGTCTCTAAGGGTGACTAAAGTTCATCTTTGGGACTGAAACTGGCACTTGCCAGAGCTGTGTTATGCATATTTTTAGCTAAATAAACTTTTGATTTGCAGGTGCATAAATAAATAATGAAAAATAAATGGAGACCACTTTACACTGTGTCTACACCAGATGTGTGGTCTATTCAAAATTAAATCACTCCCATTACAATCCCCATAGGTTTATTTACACATATCATGCTTTGAATTGTAATCTTTCTGCATTAAAAAAGTATGTTTCTCATACACAATTAATCGCATATTAGAAAAAAAAAGTTCGGCAAAAGGCGGGATCGAACCCGGGTCGATCGCGTCAAAAAACCATAGACTGTATAAAAACAAAACCAACGACACGCGCTTATCCATCTGCACCACTGGAGCTGATGATTTATAGCCACTTTTAACTAAATGTAAATAGACACTCTGTATTTTTTATTCCATAGTAAAGGGCAATTCATACAATACATTTAAACTGAGCTACTTTAATACCATCTCCGAACTTTCTACCATGACTCTGCTGTTCTTCAGCTGGTTCTTCCTGTATACGTTGATTGACAGATGTCTCGCCCAGTCATTTTGTTTTCAGAATTGTGATTTGTTTTGCACTTCTCGGCCACAGTACTCCTCAAATAACAAACCACAATGGCTGTCAATGCTGTTTGGGATCTGTTGAAGCACTTACCCATGTATAAAGTGCAACCTCAATCCACTGGCTGGAGCTCTTTCCCTTTTCTTCATAGCCATGGCACGATGCTTCTCCTTACACTGCTCTTTGAGCTGAGGTAGATCTTCTTTGTAAACCTGTGCCAAAAAACATCATCATAAAACTCCCAAAACACACAACCAAACAAAGTAGTTTCGCTTTCACAACGAAACATAGCTTCACACACGGTGGCCTTGAGTGAGCGGCAGCCGGCGGATTCGACGAAGGAGCGTCCGGCGAGTGGGCTTGAGAACGGCGCGGCGGGCGGGCTTGCGGCAACCACATGTGACGACCCCGGGCTGGACTCCGCTTCGTTTTTATAAAGAATATCTCTTTAGATTTGAGACTTTAGTCTTTGCAACTTTACAGATCTTCTTTATGCACCAAGAGCTTGTAACACTTCAAAGAGAAAGGAAAAATTGAAATCGCATCATATGACCCCTTTAAGGAATTCAGACCCATGAGAGGACCTGCTCTCAGGTTTTGATAAACATATGTATTAAACAACCCGTCGTCGGTAAGTAAGTTGGGTCTCCTGTTCGATTTCAGAGTCCATCTCAGGCACGTCTGACTGATCCGAGTCGGATTCCTCACTGTGTGAGTCTACTAATGTCTCTGTAAGACAGAAAGGGCAAAAAAAAATTTAACTCCTGTGTAGATTAGGCATTCCACTCAAGCAAAACAAATAAATGAATTAACAAATTAGCAACTATTCCATTTATCATGATCTCCTGAGAAACCCTGAGTAACTTAGTCATTTCTAAGTGCTGCCCCTCCTCTTTATAGATTTATCACTAAGAAAACTGCTGATGGCTAAGAAACAGAACTGCCAACGTGAGCAGTGAGAAATCCATTAGGAAAATGAACAGCGACATAGTAGACTGAGCAGCAACATGCAAAGAAAAAAAACAAGAAAAAGTCGACTCACTTTGCATTAGTAAAACGGTGCTTTGCTTATATAATCCAGCATGTATTTTAGCAGCACAGCCATTGCCTTGACATTTATTTGTTTCTTTAATAGATTTTTAGATTTACATTTTTCAAAAGATCAGTTTGTTCCGACAGTTCATTTAAATTATGATTCTGATGATTTCTTCAGTTAGCGATTTACAGAGTTTTTTACTGAAATATTTAATCATCACTTTGTTTTATATTTTAACATTAGAGCAATTTATGTTTTTATTAGGGTTTTTTATAGTGTAAATTTGTCCTTGTTTATTTGTCCTAATTTTATAACTGCTCAGAGTGCAACAAAAACATCTACTAATTGAAATACTTAATCTAAGCATACTTTTAAAAAGAGTACTTGTTACAGAAATTATATACTTAAGTGCGAACTGAATGTAATGTTTTCTGACATTTAACTGCATGTCACATGCAATTAAATGAAAATGTATTACATTTATATTAAATTAAAGACTATAGAGTGCATTTTTGTCCCAAGTAAGACTTAGGTACATCTTTATATTTCATAATTACTTTTATTGTCTTTAAAATATGGTAAAAGTGTACTGCAAAATGTATTGACAAGCATTACTTTAATGTAATTTCTAATAAAAGTTCTATGTCATGCATTTAAATATCTTTGCAATTACACATTTAAAGTCGCACTTCAGTACATTTAAAATATATTAATTATAAATGTAATATTGAATAATAATACAGTGTACTTTTTTAAAACATGACAAAAGATTATTAAAACAAAGATTTATGTACTTAAATATAATGTACTTTAAGGTAAAACTTTTAATTTGACAATTACATTACAATGCACACTTTTTAAAAGTGTCCTTAAAGTGGCATTTTGTTTCAATAATGCATTATCTTTACAGATTTTTTATTTTTATACTTATATACTATACTTGATAGACAGACAGACAGATAGATAGATAGATAGATAGATAGATAGATAGATAGATAGATAGATAGATAGACACCTTGAGGAGCTATATGAAGAGTTTCTTTTGACTTCCTTTCGGGGACAAACTTCCACTGGAACACTGAATGATCGGCTCCACCAATAGTAATCACCCACTGATAATCATGTGACCATCTGACATTGGTTATGTGTGCTGAATGCCCTAAATATTTTTTAAACTTAGCACCTAGAGATGTAAAAAAGGCAGACTGGGTAAGCATAAATAATGACAGAATGTCATTAAGAAAAATGAGACCAAGAGTAAAAGAGGACCCACCTTTTCTTACACATGGGTACCGAAATAATTTAACTAATCCATAATCGTCTGCTGTCACTAAAACTTGACTATTGAAGTTGGCATCTACAGAGTTGATGTCATTGATATCAGAGTATTTAGGCCAGATCCCATTCACCTCCGGCCCGAGGACACAAGTCCATGAAGACCACTGGACAAGCTTCAGTTCTTCCCTGTTGGTCACTTCCTTACCACCTAAACACAAACAATACCTAAATCAGTCGAAATTATATTATCCAATCCGAGGCATAAATACAAGCAATACATAATTCCAAGAGAGTACAGAGCTCTTACTGGGCATCCTGTAGAAGAGCCGCCGACCATTGCCGTCATTGGTCTGTAGATACTTGCTGTCAGTGGACCAATCCATGTGTGTGATGAAGCTACTGGAGCCCACGCATTCGCCCGCCTTCTTGTATCGCTGCACAACGCCGTAGATGTCCACCGAGTTATCATTAGAGCCCACGGCTAGGTGCGCTCCGTCAGGGGAGTACTTCAGTTCATGGATGGCCTCTTTACGGTCCTTAATGTGGACCACCTCCGTCATGTCCCTGCAAAATGAGTACAGGTCTAACAGATTTGCATATTTTACTTATTTTAGGTTGCTCTGGACCAGGGATACTCAAACTGCATAGCTCAGGGGTCACTTTTAGAAAGTGCAGAGTGACCAGGGGCCTTTGAGTAAAATTATCTGGTAATAGAAATAGATGCTTGATTTTGGTGAATACTTGAGTGTTTTTTAAAATGTGCAGTAACCAACAATTAGTAACCAACTGTCTTAGACCAGCCTTATATTTTAATCACCTTATTCATCAAATAATTGCCTTTTAGTTTTTACAGTTGAAGTCAAAAGTTTACATAAACCTTTCAGAATCTGCAAAATGTTAATTATTTTACCAAAATAAGAGGGATCGTACAAAATGCATGTTATTTTTTATTTAGTACTGACCTGAATAAGATTTCACATAAAAGATATTTACATATAGTCCACAAGAGAAAATAGTTGAATTTATAAAAATGACCCCGTTTAAAAGTTGACATACACTTGATTCTTAATACTTTGTTACCTGAATGATCCACAGCTGTTTTTTTTTTTTGTTTGTTTGTTTAGTGATAGTTGTTAATAAATCCCTTGTTTGTCCTGAACAGTTAAACTGCCTGCTGCTCTTCAGAAAAATCCTTCAGGTCCCACAAATTCTTTGGTTTTGCAGCATTTTTGTGTATTTGAACCCTTTCTAACAATGGCTGTATTATTTTGAGATCGATCTTTTCACACTGAGGACAACTGAGGGACATGCAACTATTACAGAAGGTTCAAATGCTCACTGATGCTCCAGAAGGAAAAACCATGCATTAAGAAAACTTTTGAACAGAATGAAGATATGTAAATTTTTCTTATTTTGCCTAAATATCATACTTTTTTCATTTAGTACTGCCCTTCAGAAGCTACAGAAGATACTTACATGTTTCCCAGAAGGCAAAATAAGTTAAATTTATCCTGATCTTCATGCATGATTTTTCCTTTTAGAGCATCAGTGAGCGTTTGAGTTGCATGTGAGTCCCTCAGTTGTCCTCAGTGTGAAAACATGGATCTCAAAACCATACAGTCATTGTTGGAAAAGGTTCAAATACACAAAAATGCTGGAAAACTAATATTTAAGCCCATAAATAAATGATGTAAGCCTATAAAAATACTAAAACTTAAACTAAAATTAAAATGAAAAGGGAAAATATAAAAATGCAATTACTATTATAGTATTTATTAATCCAAATATTAATAAATGTTATGATAATAAATAAATAACATTAAAGGGTCATGAAAACCCAGACTACTTTTTCTGAGATTTTAGCAGAGGTGTTTGTGTTGCACATCATAGAAGACAATGTTAGCATCCGATCATTTTAACTGTTGGAGAAAACTGGTTAATTTTAAGCTTTTTTGTGCTATTTTCATCTTCCGGGTTTAAAATCTACATTGTGTTGACGTCACAATTTGTGACGTGGCAATGGACTATAGTACATCGTGACGCGTCTGTGTCTATTAAATTATTCATGAGACTGTGTGTTCTTATCCTATGAGAAGACGCTTCGCTTAATTATTCACAACAGCATGTGTTGATTTGCTATGACAGACGTTTCAGACTGTGAGATTGCGCACATTAACTGAGAGAAACGTTCATGGATCGAAGAAGAGTGTTTGTTTTTGCTTTTTAATAAGAGTTCAGCACAAACGCGATTAATTTACTTGGTGAGCATAACCGTTTTTACAGCTCTGTGACACAACCTGTCAAAATGCTGATATAAAAACCACAGAATAAGCCTTAAAAGTTCTGAGAGGTGCAACAGCTCATTCATATATATGTTTTCGATGCAGAGCGCAAATGGCTATGCATTTATTTGTGTTTTTAACTCGATGGGAGTGAAATGAAACTGTCTGAATGCAAAGCTGTGTGTGTTGTCTGTCTCCCCTCTTCCCCCTCTGCTCCACTGTGCACCACGCCCACTTTTTTAGCGTTTTTTAAAACTGTGGTGAGAACTAACCAGTGCTGAAACAGGGCGTTTCATGACCCTTTAAGCAACTTCTACATTTGAATGAGATGATCAGTACACAGCGTATATTTAGATGTGCTTTACCTCTTCTTTGTTGGAGCCCAGGTTAAGATGTGCCATTGGACTGTTGGGAGCACTGCTTGCAGAAGGGCACCTCTCCGGAGCAGAATTTGACTGTGAAATGAACATCTTGTTTTAACCACGGACACAAAAGTTATACTACAATTCATGCACAGTCATGTCAACCAGATACTTAGAGACAGAGACAGTGCATCATCGTTTCATGTGTGTTGGGATGCAGTATTTTGCACTTACTTTGTAGTAATAGAGTGTGTTGACTGAAATAAGTTTGTATGAATAAAGTTTTTGTTTTTGGAGAATCATAATATCTCTTATCTGTTGTATTTGAGCAGGACAGGGATGCACTTTGGTGACACATAAAACAAATTCCCAACATTGTGTCTTTCCATCATTTCCATCATGTTTGATGTGCTTGCAGATCACAAGCATTTCCTAATTTCACTTCAGAATTTTTTGTTATATTTAATGTTTTGTTATATTTTGTTTATACTGTTATCATTTGTAAAGTATATATATATATATATTTACTTTCCTTTACCTTTACCAAATTTACCTGTATTTACTTTGTTTTCATATTTGGCGACTTTTTGTGAAAAATGGAGACTTTTGAGGGTGGTTCTAGAGATTTTCTGAGGGAGGGGTTTGGCAACACTGGTTGTTTGCTGCACATGGCAAGCAGTTTTCAAATATTAATAAGCAGTGAAGCAGTTTTGATAAGCTTGTGGTAGGTTAAATTTGACAGGTATCCCTGCTCTAGACAGTCTGTTCTGCTGTGTTTTGCCTGAGTGCATCACCTGACTCTCAGCACTGTGAAGGATCCATCTTTCATGCCCAGAGCGAGGTGGATTCCGTCCGTACTAACAGCAGCACAGCGTATAGGCTCCTCCATGTTGCAACGTGCTATTAGCGCATGATCTACAAGACTCCAGATCCTCCCATTCAAAAAGAAAAAGAGGAAATAATAACCCATAAAGATACACAAATTAGTGCACTAAATATTAAAGATCATGTTCTTAATAGCCTTCATCTAATCTGAGGTTAATACACTCACTGAGGAAAACTCTATTGCTCAGATGTTTCATTACAGCTCATGACACATGAAGTGTGTAATGTCAATTACTGTAAATTTTCCATGCCACTAGCATGTACAAACGGAACTGCATAAGTAAACCCTTGTGAAAAACAAATGTACCTTAGTGAAAAATAAATAAATATGCTAAAATGTATTTAAAATAAATCTATTTTATGCTAAGTATACTAAAGCTCCAAAAGTATCAAAAAATTTATTTAAAAAAAAAAACTGTCGCATAGCATATGTGACGTTTCGAGCACGCAGGCTCTTCATCAGTCTGATGAAGAGCCTGCATGCTCGAAACGTCACATATGCTATGCGACAGTTTTAAAAAAAAATTAATTTTTTGATACTTTTGGAGCTTTGGTGTTGCCGACTTTACATCCAAAATATTTTCCACTTGTTTCTTAGTCGAGTACCCAGTTGAGATTGATGTGCGTGCTTTTGCCTGCTCTTCATGCTAAGTATACTACAAATACATTTATATATTTACGTACTTAATAAAAATACCCTGCAATTGTACTTTTAGTATACTAAACTGGTAATTTTGGTCATTTTATACTTAATGGACTTCAGTTGCGTGGAAGTAGTGCTGAAGTCCAACTAAAGATATACTGAAGTATATTTGATTGTGCTGAAGTGGAACTATTGCAAGTATACTTCAGGTACACTTTAAATATCTTGCATTTAAAGTCCAATATTATTCAAAGATGATACAATCCTCATCGATAGTGATATTAAAACACATTTTAGGCTTAATGTTAAGAAATGTGCATTGTGCACGAGTACTACGCCCAATAAAATTTCATTATAATTTTTATATTACTAGGTCTTGAGCAATTTGTCAGTAAATATGTTAATAGATTTGAAATACAGAGTTCTGGAATGAAACTCTAGATGGCGCAGTCCGATAGGTCTAATTCAATCTGACCTAATGACATCATCACATGACACAGCCAATTGGTTCTCTCCTGTATCGGTAGCCAATAAGCTCTCTGCTCAACATTCAAATATATGAATAGTGATTGCTGTAGCAGTTTGCAGCGTGCTTCAGAAACAGTGAAATCAACATCTAAGATAAGTGAATGCTCTTCTAATCCATATCGCTGTGTGTATTGCGTGGTATGCCTAATTGAATTTAAAAATGAACAACCATAATCAAGTTTAAACTACGAGTCATGTTAGCAGTTTGCATTGTATGCAGGAGCGAAATATTAAGCATTATCTCAATTTTCACGTTCGTTATTTCTAAGGTCAATGTTTTTCATTTCAGCTGCACGCAGCGTCAGAAGCACGCGCTTATCGCAGTCATATCAATGACAGTGTTGCGGGAGAAGGGAAATAAGTAGGGATGCACCGATACCGATACTGGTATACTGAGCTCCTGTACTCGTACTCATACTCGTTAAAATGCCCCGAGAGAGAGAGAGAGCGAGAGAGTGCGCACAATTATGTTGTGTGATCTTTGATGCTCACTCACTTAGAACACGCATCATTTGGATTAAAACTGAATCGTAAAAATAAGACCATTTATAGGGGCATTCACTATAAACATCATTTATTTTCAACCGGCATACACGACTTTCAAGCGAAAGTGAATCTAGCAGCCAGTGTGAAATGCGCTAGGCTGTACTACTGTCCTCTCATTCTGCACCAGTACAAATACATGAACGCGTGTTTTGCTTGCTTGATTGTTTCTGCATTATATGAGACCCAAAAATTCTTCATACAGTGGACTACCAGTAAAATTGGTGGTATAAAAGTGGTATAAAAAGGCACTTAAAAATGGTTATCAGTTCCCTTTCAGTTGGTCACTTTGAACGTCACGTCGACCGATGAATTGGGATCTCACTGGAGAGACCAATCTACTTCGAGTGTAAACTAAATAAGCCAATGCACATTGGCATGCGATGATAGCATCCAGCTGCCACTGACCACAGCGTGAGTATAAACAGGCAGCAAGTGCAATGCATACTCAGCTTTTCGCTTCAGAGCAGAGCAGAGTCAATCGTTCTGCTCTTATCAAGCTTCGGTTGTGAACGAGACGAGTTCAGAGAGAGAGGGAGCTTCTTCGTGTTGGTGGAACGGTGCTACATGAGTCATTTTCCCATGTAGAGTGGGTTGCACACATCAGGCTGCACTACCCCGTTTGTGTTGCAGGTGGCCATCTCCCCTGTTTGTGTTGCAGGTGGCCATCTCCCCTGTGCGCTTTAGCATGCTCTAAAAGGACTATACCAGCCGTATCCTTTGGGGCTCCCCCCGATGATCGGATGTCAATTGCTGCATCGGAGGGTGAGCCGGAGCTTTCTGGAGAGGAAGATTTGGCGCCAATATCCCCCTCCGGGATGGTGGCAGTGCCCGAGTCGAATCCAGAGATGACGGCTATGCTTGCCGGGGCTGCCAAGAGGGTAGGGCTCGAGTGGAAATCTCCACCGTGTCCCGAGCCCTCGAGGTTGGATGATTGGTTTCTCGGGGCTGGTTCTCAGTGCCCCACCCCGGTGCCTTTCTTCCTGGAGGTGCACGAGAAGCTTACCAGGTTGTGGACGGCACCTTTTACTGCTAGAAACCGGCCTGCTAGCTCCTCCTCCCTCACCACCCTCGACGGTGGTGCAGCTAAGGGTATACGGAGATCCCCCTGGTGGAGCAGTCGGTAGCAATGCAGTTGTGTCCTAATACAGCCTCCACCTGGCGGGGCAAACCATGCCTTCCCTCCTGGGCCTGTAGGTACTCGTCTGGTCTGTCCGGCGATGCTTATGTGGCTTGTGGAGAAGCTGCCTCTGCCTTACACGCTACGGCGTTACTGCAGGTCCATCAGGCTAAAGCACTGCCTGCACGAGGGTGGTCACGATCCGGAAGTTCTGAAAGTGCTCCGAACTGCAACTGACCTTGCGCTCCGAGTGACGAAGGTCACCATGAGTTCTCTGGGTTGTGCAATGTCCACGCTTGTTGGCCAAATTATTGGCCAAAGCTGCACATGTGAGCAGCGCGACACATGCGTGTGATGCTGTTACAGGAGCCGTCCAATAATGAGCCGGCGTTCTGACATAGAACCTCGAAGCGCTGGACGTAAACAACGTATGAGAATGACACAGAAGAGAAGAGGTTGTTGAATAAAGTCGTTATTTTTGTTTTGTTTTTGCGCACAAAAAGTATTCTCGTCACTTCATAAAATTATTGTAGAACCACTGTAGTCACGTTGACTGTTTTAACGACGTCTTTAGTACCTTTATTAATCTTGAGAGTTTGGGTGGCATTGCTGTCAATGGAGGCCTCTCTGAAGTGTATTGTTCTAAGGTACATTACTTCAGTAATAAGTACTGTTTTTAAAAGTATGCTTTTGTTAAGTGCACTTTTTCACAAGGGATCTCAGTTTGTTCTTCTTTTATTCCATTTTCTATATTAGAAAAACAACTGAGCCATTAAAGAGATCTTTTGTAATTCTAAGTGATTCACATGTGGTATTACAGTAGTTTGTTTTTGGCTCTTACCGAACAGAGCAGTCGTCGCTACCGGTCATGGCGAGAGGTTTGGTAGGATGAACCGCCAAGGCCCACAGCTCGCCCTCACAGTGACCCTGCATGATGAGGAAGGGCTTGGTGCGATCGTGCACCACCACCTCAAAAATCTCACTGTCCTGCGTGCCCACCAGAATGTGATCCCCTCTCCAGCACACGCTACGCACTGACAGGCCTGCACAGATCCACCACATAAACACTTAGTAAGCAAATGAAGGAGACTGTGGAAGCAAACAGACATGATCCTGAAACATACTGAAGGATGTACACTGTAGACTGTCAAGGATGGAGAGGGTGCTTGGGTGCTTGATAATACATATAGACATCTGGGATCGGTGACAAACAGGGGTAAGAGCTATGGATATAACACAGGGCGGACAGCCTGCATAAAGAACACTGACCACTACAACGCACCTCTTGAATTTTCACCTCTAGCTACTGATGAGTCAGAGGAAAAAAAAGTAAAAGAAGAAAAGAGATACAGCTCCGTTAGAGACAAAAGACTTTTGCATTGTGGGATCCTGAGTATTTAACAACAAAAGATAAGTGGCAACTTAATGGATTAAACAAAATAAATGTCAGTGTAGAGTAATGCATTCTGGGAGTTTGCGACTCACCCTTATATCCCTGGTCTGTTTCCCTGAGGTCAATGACAGTGATGGGTTTGAAGTTCAGGTCCCATAATCGGATGCACCCATCCCTGCCTCCCGTGGCAAAGCCTTCTTCACATGCATTCATGCTGAAAATACCAGACTACACACACACACACACACAGGAGCTCTGAGAGGCTGAATGTCTCTGACAACTAAAACAATCAGAGAATCTGAAGTCTCAAACTTCAACCACAGCAATGGCACTAAGGGTCAAATAAAGTTGAAAAAGATTTGCAGATCTTAAAGGGTCCACACATCAATGAGAAAAAAATCCAACTGTCCTCACTATTTGGAAATATTACAATTTATTGCACTACATAAACAGACTGTAACTAGTAGAATTCAAAACTTCTTCCCAGCTAAAAAATAGCTTCTATTGAAAATAAGCCACAGTCCTTGGTGTCATTTCTGACATCAGAAACCAAATTCAACCTGCAACCAGCCACATTTACATATCAACAATGCCAATAATGAGCTGAGGAAGTAGAATAGAAACAGAATTTTAGAAATAAAATGTTTTATTATTATTATTATTATTATTATTATTCAATATTGCCTGAAATATTTTAGTTTTTTTTTTATTAAAATAGTAACTGTAATGTAATACTGTATTAATAAGTGTTTTCATTAATACCGTTTATTATATTATATTATATTATATTATATTATATTATATTATGAAAACAAATATTATATTATGAAAACAACCTAAGACAAAAATTTTAACAGTAAAGACATTTTACAAGGGTGCCAATAATAGTAGACGTATATATATATATATATATATATATATATAAAATATACCTATAAAAATGTTAAATATACAGGGAAAATATATATAAAATATTATGAGCAGACTTTAGGTTGCATTAAATGTATGATAAGAAACTTTTAAATAAAATATGAATAACATTTTACCTACAGGAATATTGTTGGTTAATTGTAAATTTGAATTCATAAAAATTACTAATTAACAGACATTAAAGGGGTCAATTCCCATGATCTTTTGACTGTTTCAGAGCTCAAAACTTTCTTGTTAGTCTAAAAACAGCTCATATTGAAGCCAGTCTGCCAAAACAACAGCTTTTGGTATGTTCTACTCTATGATGTAATAGTGTGCATAAGCACCGCCTCCGCAGAAGAAGATCAACGCCTGCTTCAACATCACTGCCTGTTTAGCCCCGCCCACCGATTCACGCATGTAGTGTTAATAACAAGAGAGGCAAACACAGGTCTACACAGAAACCAAGCAATAAAGATGCTTCGAAGACAACAAGATGCTGTGCAGTGTCAAGCTTTGGAAAAACAGTCTTTGGATTGCCTTCCTTCTGATCTCAATGTTAGGAAAGCAAACGATAAAGATGCTCTGAAGACAACAAGATGCTGTGCAGTGCCAAGTTGTGGAAAAACAGTCTTTGCATTGCCTTCCTTCTGATCCCAATGTTAGGAAAGACTGGATGAACTTTATTTTTAATGAAGTTTCAGACCACGTCAGTAAGAACTCAGTCCTTTGTTCACTTCATTTTATCACAGATTCGTTTACAAATAAACGATGGAAGGATTTTCAGAAAGACTGAAACTTAAAGACGATGCTGTGCTGACTATATTAGATCCGACAGTAATGTCGCACCACACAAGTGTGAGTAACCGTTTTTATTACGTGGTCACTATTGCTTTGTCTTTCATTACAGATCATTTGATATATTTAGTATTTATGTGTTTTTAACCTAAATCACAGCAGCGTCCATCTGTGAAGGACGTAGGCTGTCAAACATACACAAGTGTTAGCCAATCACAGCAGTGAGCGTTAACTTCCAAGTCTACAATCCACCCCTATTCAAACAGAGCGTTCTGATGAGGGGGTCAAAACAAGGACAGAACATAGCCTATTACTTCTAAATTATGATGTTCTTTGATGTAAAAATCTTGATAACAATTATAAGGGGACCTCAGAGACTGGTACATAATAATAAAAGTTTAATTATTTTTTATTTAATTATTACATTGGCAATATTTGCATAGATCACAGAGTAATAAAGCCATATTATCTTTCAATATTCATCACAAAACTGTTATGCTAGGCGAGCCATTTTATAGATCAAACTCAATTTATAAATCACTGTAAGCAGATATCTATGTGACTCGGAACAGAGGTCATTCTAGTGACACTGTGGAAAACGTTCCCTTACTTACCCCGTGAGCCCCTTGAACTGTCCGCATTAAACTGATTCCCTTCCAGACATAGATGTCTCCGTTCAAGGCACCTGAATATGTGATCTCGTCTCTCGCACAGGCCAGACAGAGGATAGTCTGAAGGTCTCCAGTCTTCCCAAACACGCCACGCTTAGGGGTCAGAGCGTTCCCACAAAGACTCCAAAACTGAGGGCAATTGAGAGTCAGTATGAATCAACAACGTGTGAATTGCATAAACATACATGAGGCAGATGTACTGACAGCTTGCGCCAGTGAAAACCCTCTTTTGTCAGTAAAAAAAAAAAAACTACTGTCAGAATTTACAAAAAAAAAAAAAAAAAACAGTCAAACATTAGTGACGATCTTTAATTTGCGCATTGTCAGTAGATCAATAATAAAACTTTTCACTCCCATCTGTGCTTTTATGAGAATGATCATTTGCCCTGTTAAGTAAATCTGGCTCTTGGTCTAACAATATAGTACTTCCTGTTGCACATAATTTAGGTTTGAAACATGATTCATAAGATTTTTTGATTTATTATGGAATTCAGTGACCACGCAGTAATATATCATGTAAAGATTTGTATACCTGACAATTGCTGTTTCCTGATAAATGTATTATAGCAAATAGCCTATTGAAAGGCCTTACTGAATAAATTGTGTGACAGCTTAATATTGCGAAAGCACAGCAGCATACATAAAGGTGCACTTCTGTTCACAAGCTCGATAAATTTCCTTGCAATCATTGAGAACACTCACACACACAAGCTCACAAACATACTAATGCTAACACTCGTTAAACACATCATTAAAATGCACAGGCATGAACTTAGTTCAGAACAAACCCAGAAAGCTCCCATAGCCAGCGCATAATAATTGGCTCATTGACTCTGATTCAGCTGTGTGTGTGTGTATACTGGTATATATGGTTTATGAGGACACAAATGTATATAATGACATGGGTACTACAACGTAAACATGGTTTATGAGGACACTTCCTGTGTCCCCGTAAAACAAAAGGCTTAAAAAGCATACAAAACGGTGTTTTATGAAATTCAAAAATTGCCAGTGTATGGTGTAGGGCGATAGAAAATACAGTTTGTACAGTATAAAAATCATTACGCCTATGGAGAGTCCCCCGTAAACCACAAATGCAAGTATGTGTGTGTGTCTCCTCAGAGCTCTATTTCATGAGGCTCTATTTCATCTATTTAAACCTTGTCCTCAACAGCCTCCTGTAAGAAAACCTGAGCTGTCAAAGACAAGATTCTGAATTGTATATTGCCAACGTGATAACATTTGATATTAAATATTTAGGTTCTTTACACTCATTGTGAATAGTTCACCCAAAACTGAAAATTATGTCATTATATATTTAGTCATGATCCAAATCAATATAACTAAGTTCCTTTCATGGAACAGGAAATGTCATTTTAAATTAAATGAAAAATGACATTTTAACTATGACAGTGGGGCTTCAGAAGACTAATAAAGCACACTGTATGAATACATAGAATATAGCCATTTTTTGTTAAAAATAAGTATACTTTTGAGAAGAATGCTTATTATGGAAAAAATACACTAAAAGAATACACTTGTTAGGAGTATGAACTTTAGTGTTGTCTTTTTCTGTTACGTCTGCCTGTTCCTGTTTTTCCTTATATGGTTTTGTTCCTGTTCAGTTTAGCTCTTGAGTTAATTTGCTCGTTAGTCATTATTAGTTAACTCCCATCACCTGTTTGCCCCTCGTCAGCTGCCCTATTTAAAGGGGTCATATGATGCGATTTCAATTTTTCCTTTCTCTTTGGAGTGTTACAAGCTCTTGGTGCATAAAGAAGATCTGTAAAGTTGCAAAGACTAAAGTCTCAAATCCAAAGAGATATTCTTTATAAAAGTTAAGAGTCAGCCACGCCTACCTAAAACGGCTCGTTCTAACACGCCCCCACATATCTACGTCACGATGTGGGAAGATTTGCATAACGCCACCCAAATGTTCACGCAAAGAAAGAAGGCGTAACTTTTATTCTTGCTGTAGTATTGTTGCCGCCGCCGCCATGTCGTGAAGGCACTGTGTGATTCGTTGTGAAAGCAAAACTACTTTGTTTGGCCTTCCAAAAATGGACATGACTAGAAATCAGTGGTTAAGTTGTATTTACAACACTGTTCCAAAACAGTTCAACCTAAATATTCAGATGTGTGCAGCGCATTTTATGGAGGACTGTTTCCTGATCCTGGGAGAGTAGACTACAATGCCGGCTGTTCTGACTCA